GAAAATATATAGGATTTTACTTCACGATCAACGTTCACCTTTTTTACAGGCACATTTGAAGTACGCTTCAACCACCAACAAACTAATGTCTACATCTGATTATTAACACCAGCCTCGGACATAATTACTCCACAAATCAAGTATCAGCTGCAAAACACACCTCTGGGGACCCTGGATTTAGTTTTCTCAAACAAACACATGTGTTTTCATGGCAAGCTGCCTGTGAATAGAGATGGATTTTCTTTTCAACTTTTCAAATTTGAATTGATGACTTTGGCTTGGTTGGATGCGTCTAATGTGAACTGACTTACTTCGTGAGTTCTTCGGGGTGTTCTTGGAAGGTCCCAAAATTATAGGGATCATTTCATTATTTGTTTGGGGGTTCAAACAATGCACTTTAGTCAGGCTCCCGTTCGGAAACAAAACCTGTCAGCAAGGACCGCATCGTTGGGTATTACAATCCGGGGCCCTTCGAGCATTGTTTTAAGCGCAGAGAGAAATGTGCATGGGTCAAGTTACTTGGAGTGAGATGGGGATGCTTCAGTTTATGATATGTTCATCAGGCAGCTAATTATTGTAAACATTTGTAAGCCATGAAATTCTGAGTGCCGTTTTCGGACCCATTTTGGAGCAGAATATTTAAGAACTTTGCGTGATGCAGCAAACCCAATCTCATAAGTCTCCAGGGGACACTGCATACAACCCATTCTGGCACAATTTCAACGGCTTTCGACATAATGTTCATGCGAAAATTCACTAGAAATGGTGATTTTCCATAGTTATGTTAAATTACCAGAGGGTAGTAATTAGCGGCTAATTGGCATGTCTGGAATCAATCAAAAACGCCGATGGCAGCTTCGGGTATGAACAAGTTTCATCAAATGTCCGTTTCAATGCGGACATTTCCAATCTTAATCACCAAACGTCTGCTCCCCCTTTCCAAAATGGCTGAAGATTTGGGTGCTATTGGGTCCAAGCATGTCAATGTCATTTCCAGCCAAACAATGATTCTTTAGATTCTTTGCAGGAAGATAGATGCCCGCGCTTTAAGCCCGTATAGCCTCATAGATAGACAGACCTACACACCCATCTACTAAAACCATAGTTAGAAAAGCTAGTGCCCAACCTATTTGCTATATGATGACCTCGTCATTAAGTGTCATGCGATTGTTTCTGCAGGTTTTTGCTAAGGGTAACCTTTGGTAGCCCCGCTGGGCTACAGAACTCGCCAATCCGTGGCGAATAGGTGAACCTGTCTTACGAATCATGGGAGCAATTGCTGATTTTATCATTTTTCCAGAAGACGGATCAATTACAGTAGCATATTGCCGTGATTTTTTCCAACATATTTTTTCGGATCCTTTGTGTTAACCATTGCCATGATTTTTCTGCGAAACATCCTTGCATCAATTGCCATCCTTACATCATTCCAGAGATGAAAGCAGTAAACAACCCACTAGGTAGGTCAACCTTTCCCTATCAATGTGAGGCCCCCGTTCGATAGCTAAGTTGGCGCACATAACTCCAATAACTATGGTTTATGATACTTATAACTATAGCTACTGGGGCTTATAAACCAACAAACATCACTGGGGGGCTTCACATTGTATCAATCAGGCTGGCATTGCAGAAGCATGAACAGCTTCTGCAAGGGCGTCTGAAGCAACTCCAGAAAGCCACCGGTCACCATTCCATATTGACCGCTCCGGGCTTCGGTCGCCTGAGTTCTGTGCAAAGGGCTGAGATTCTCCGGCAGGCCTGCAAGGGTGCTGGTGTGTTTTTGTTCGAGGAGATTTCCCCGCAATGTGGCAGCGACAATATACATGTTTGTTTTTAAATAAATAAACATATACATATATATATATAATGTCAAGTGAGGATTAATAATGCCCTCCCGATTAATCAACAGAAACTGCCCCAAAAAAAAAATGTAATTTAAAAACAGGTGGTCCCCCCAGATTAATATTTTTTTTGGCCGACCCCCGATTAATCAACAACCACTTCGGAAATCCATTTTTTTATCCAACATTTTTATTTCCAATTCTATTTATTTCCAATTGTTTTTTACCTTTTTTTAATCATCATTGTTATACTTCAGGTTGAGGTTGATCATTGAAAATTTCAAAAAACAACTATTCCCCAAATGATCGATTTCTAATTAAAATCTTTATAAAAATCATCAGTTTGGATAGCTCCCAAAGGGTACCCCCCATGAGCCCATGTCCCCCATTAATAATATCCAGGGTTTGCCCCTGATTAATCAACCACCTTTCTGATCCATGAAATTTCAACAAATCCAATGGAATTCTATTAAGATCTAATTGACGTAAGCCATATCCAAAGTTTTATGGTTCAGAGTTGCTTATTATTGAGGGGCGATCAAGAAAACCAGTCAGAAGGTACCTCCCTACCTTCTCGGCGGGGGGGGTTATTAATCCGGTGTTGGCATTATATATATATATGTGTATATGCACATGTATACCACCTCCAAGACATGGGTTTCTTTCTAGGCCAGGTCAGGCAGATTTTCTACAGGCCCAGCCATTTTTTGCTTCTCAACATTCATCAACTTCACAGGAGGTGAGGAAGAGGACTCAGGCACGTCTCCGCCTGGTTTCTTCGAAGCATTGGGGATGGTGGGACGTTTTCGCGAACCGTGCTGACGGTGGATGGAAATGGTAGGCTGATGCTGTTGCGGGCCAGTTTTTTTTGATTTCAGAAGGTTTTGTTCAGGAGATGTATTCAAACTGCCCCTTCCGAACGATTAGGATGACTGACTTTCCTTCACATGTGTGGTCAACAGATGGATTTATAACCCATGGAGGACATGTTCATACAATGTGAAGCCCCCCAGTGATGTTTGTTGGTTTATAAGCCCCAGTAACTATAGTTAATAGTTATAAGTATCATAATTAAACCATAGTTATTGGAGTTATGTGCACCAACTTAGCTATCGAACGGGGGCCTCACATTGTAGAATTGTTTCATGAGGACGGCTTGAAATATGTGAGCCTAAAACCCACGGTTTCAACAGATGTTTCATGGTTTTCCTTTTTACAATGCGGTGATCAACCGGATCAAAGGAAAATCATGCAATTTTTCATATAGGATGATTTTGGTATTTTCCCATTCACATATCCATTCAAATCCATTTAATGTCAACCCCGGATTAATAAACCATGGTCTATCAATTAGGGGGGTACTCCTCCAATAGTCATCATCTAATACTTAAATGGTACGCTCCCAAGTAAACAGCCGTTTGGGGTTTATTAATCCAGGGTTGACATTATATGGAAATGGTTGATATATATGTTGATATATTATAGTGGATAGATACTATGACTGATGGTGGATGTTTCATCTATAAATCATGGATTTTCCGGCGATGACTCAGATGACTTCCCAGGACAAGCCCATCCTGATCGACTCGCACGGCCAGGTGGTGCCCCATGACGGGTTGCTTGGCATATTCCCTGGCGATGCCTGACATTCACCTTTTTTTTTTGGAAGATCGGTATTATTTAATGTGCATGGAATCTATGTATGATATATATATATGTGTGATGTGTGTAAAAGTTTGTGTATACAGAATACTAAGACTATAATGATATTTAAATATATATATATATACATGTTTATGCATATGTATGTGCATACCATTGAGATTATGGCACATTTTCGATTTGTACAGACATAGACTTGTATTTTCAGAGGCCCCTTTTGCATTGACTATGCATTGACTACAACTTTGGGCAATCAGATTCCACCAGACCTGGTGAAATTCCACCAGATCAGGTTGGAAGAGAAGGAAAAACAGGAGTTCTACCAGCGCCTTTTGCACGAACATGCGGTTGTTGCCGATGCGGAGGACTGGAATGGACTGGATCGGTTTTACAGATTTCTGCGGATGAATCATTGACACATCATGTTGTTTAATCATTAACCATCGTTGTGAAAAAGTGAGCAAAAGGTGGTTTGATCATCACAAAATGCTAGTAGATGGTGGTTTGGAAATTAAACAATCAGGATCAATCAGGTTTATTCACAAAAATGGTGGTTTAATCTAAAGCTGTAGTTTAATGATCATATGTTCAACAGTGGAGGTTTGATACATAATGCGACTGGCTCATCAAACAATGTGATTTAGTCATAATCGAAGCTGATTTACAGCATATCGTCCTCAAGAATGGGGTTTTCACCAAACTGCATGATATCGTCAAACAAAATCCTGGCTCTGCGTAATTCATAGCCGCATCGTTCAACCTTACAATAATATAATGATTGTATAGTTTCGATCGGGGAAATCAGCCTGAGAATGGCCAATTTTCTGCTATGGATTGCCCGGTTTTGATGATGACAAGGACGGATATATCAGAAAACCCGCGTGTAGCTATGAGAAACTGGAACCCCGAAAGATTCGCAAAAAAACAATGTTTTGGGACCCCGGCAATGGTGAGGTTTTGTGTAAATTGGGACACATCAGTCATTTGTTTGAGGAGAAGCACAAGCCCCGTGGCATGTTTTGGAGAGATTTAAACCAGAACTTAAGTCCTCGGCAAATACTTTCAGGAATGGTAATGAAGGAGTTGTTGAAGGGTATACCTTTTTTGCGTGGTTTTGATTTCACCAGCTTGCCATGTCCAGAGTTTGCCAAAAAGTGTACCTACAGTCATTAATATTTCCCACGCCTAGAGTTCGCCAAAAAGTGTGCCTCCCGTCATTGATACTTGCCTTTCATAGAGTTTGCCAAAAAGTGTACCTACCGTCATTGATACTTGCCACGTCTAGAGTTCGCCAAAAAGTGTGCCTACCGTCATCGATGCTTGCCATGCATAGAGTTTGCCAAAAAGTGTACCTACCGTCATTGATACTTGCCTTTCATAAAGTTTGCCAAAAAGTGTACCTACCGTCATTGATACTTGCCACGTCTAGAGTTCGCCAAAAAGTGTGCCTACCGTCATCGATGCTTGCCATGTATAGAGTTTGCCAAAAAGTGTACCTACCGTCATTGATACTTGCCTTTCATAGAGTTTGCCAAAAAATGTACCAACCGTCATTGATACTTGCCTTTCATAGAGTTTGCCAAAAAGTGTACCTACCGTCATTGATACTTGCCATGTATAGAGTTTGCCAAAAAGTGTGCCTACCGTCATTGATGCTTGCCATGTATAGAGTTTGCCAAAAAGTGTACCTACCGTCATTGATACTTGCCTTTCATAGAGTTTGCCAAAAAATGTACCTACCGTCATTGATACTTGCCTTTCATAGAGTTTGCCAAAAAGTGTACCTACTGTCATTGATACTTGCCATGTATAGAGTTTGCCAAAAAATGTACCAACCGTCATTGATACTTGCCTTTCATAGAGTTTGCCAAAAAGTGTACCTACTGTCATTGATACTTGCCATGTATAGAGTTTGCCAAAAAATGTACCAACCGTCATTGATACTTGCCTTTCATAGAGTTTGCCAAAAAGTGTGCCTACTGTCATTGATACTTGCCATGTATAGAGTTTGCCAAAAAGTGAGCCTACCGTCATTGATACTTGCCATGTATAGAGTTCGCCAAAAAAGTGTGCCTACCGTCATTGATACCTGCCATTAGAGTTTGCCAAAAAGTGAGCCTACCGTCATTGATACTTGCCATGTATAGAGTTTGCCAAAAAATGTACCTACCGTCATTGATACTTGCCATGTATAGAGTTTGCCAAAAAGTGAGCCTACCGTCATTGATACTTGCCATGTATAGAGTTTGCCAAAAAATGTACCAACCGTCATTGATACTTGCCTTTCATAGAGTTTGCCAAAAAGTGGATCTACTGTCATTGATACTTGCCATGTATAGAGTTTGCCAAAAAGTGAGCCTACCGGCCTACCGTCATTGATACTTGCCATGTATAGAGTTTGCCAAAAAATGTACCTACCGTCATTGATACCTGCCATTAGAGTTTGCCAAAAAGTGTACCTACTGTCATTGACACTTGCCATGTATAGAGTTTGCCAAAAAGTGAGCCTACCGTCATTGATACTTGCCATGTATAGAGTTTGCCAAAAAATGTACCTACCGTCATTGATACCTGCCATTAGAGTTTGCCAAAAAGTGTACCTACCTTCATTGATACTTGCCACGTCTAGAGTTCGTCAAAAAGTGTGCCTACCGTCATTGTTACTTGCCTTTCATAGAGTTTGCCAAAAAGTGAGCCTACCGTCATTGATACTTGCCATGTATAGAGTTCGCCAAAAAGTGTGCCTACCGTCATTGATTCTTGTCATGTCCAGAGTTTGCCAAAGTGTACCTACCGTCATTGATACTTGCCACGTCTAGAGTTCGCCAAAAAGTGTGCCTACCGTCATTGGTATTTGCCATGCCCAGAGTTTGACAAAAAGTGTGCCTACCATCATTGATACTTGCCATGTATAGTGTTTTCAGACTGTACCTTCCGTCATTGATTCTTGCCATGTATAGAGTTTGCCAAAAAGTGTACCTACAAGCATTGATACTTGCCACGTCTACAGTTCGTCAAAAAGTCTGCCCACCTTCATTCATACTTGCCATGTAATTATAGAGTATGCCAAAGAGTGTACCTACCGTCATTGATACTTGCTCTGCTTAGGGTTTGCCAAAAAGTGTGCCTACCTTCATTGATACTTGCTATGTATAGAGTTTGCCAAAAAGTGTGCCCACCGTCATTGATACTTGCCACGTCTAGAGTTCGTCAAAAAGTGTACCTACATTAGCACTACAGTCTTGCCCGGTAGTATGTTTAGAACCACATACAAATACCTTGTTCGATTCTTTCCGTGAGACAAGTAATATGGGACGTTTTGTTTTAGCATGAGACCATCCTCATTGAATCACATAATTCACATAATTGAGAAAAACACTCCCCAAACATCCCGAAGCAATTGGCAATAATTGACTTGTGTTAATCATGTTACCCCCTCATAAATGAACAGTTTGACACTGAAAATCACCAATTTATAGTGGAAACTAGTCTTCCAACCCTGATGGCTGCCAGGGTCTATGTTAATTTACTGGCGGGTAATCCTTGAAACTGGTTTCTTGGCGTTCCAGGCATCGTTGTCTGGTGACTCCAGTGACGAAGAGCAGAGAGTCGCCGAGTCCAAGGAAGCCGAGGAAGCCGAGGAAGCCCAGAGACCGGCAACTTGGAGCGATGATTTCACCGTGCCAGGTACAATGGCCCCCCCTCTGGTAATTGAACATAACTATGGAAAATCACCATTTTTAATGGGAAAATCCACTCTAAATCACCATTTTGATGTGAATGTTGGTTTAGATTCGCCCCAGTAACTATAGTTATAAGTTTTATAAGTACCATAAACCATAGTGACATTGGAGTTATATATAACCAACTGAACGCTATCGTGGCCGGGGGCCTCACATTGTAGGACAAGGTTATAACATGTTATAACCGTTAACCCGAGGCAGCACCTAAACTCCATACGAAACTGGATTTTTCTGGATTTTTACCATGTATTTTTGCGAGATGTTTTTTTCATGGGGGGTGGATAACTGATCATGGACTTTATATTCTTTCATTCAATCCTTTGTGAAGCGGACAGTATATATACGTATATAGATTTATATATATATCTATCTATTTATATGGTCTTTGAGTGTGGTTAACATCCTTTTCAATATATTTAAAACATGGAAAGTGCGTGTCATGAGAAGAACCGGAAAAGAAATTCGCACATCGCTCCAAGGGGCCACTGGAGGCGGGCCCGAACGGTACAAAAACATCATCCCATCAGTCCGGACCGAAATGTGGAGTAAATGTCGATACAGTAACAGTTAACCCAGCAGTCGGACTATCATATATACTGTATATATATATATAGTTTTTATATATATTTTACTTATATATATATATACATACACGTATAATATGTATTATCACCATCGTTGGCCATACAAGGAATACAAGGTCACACATATGTGCATGTGTAAATGCCCAGGCCGCGCGCGAAAAGAAGAAGGCAAAAGCCATAGCAGAGCAGGTCCGGGGTCAAAATCTGATGGGGGTGCTGCTGATTTTGTTTGGGCCTAAAACGATGGAAGATGTCACTGTTTTGATGTTGGTTCATTCGATTTATTTCTGTGGATTTTTTAGAGTCCGTCCCTTGTCAACTTGTGGTCGTTAGTCGTTTGATTCTGGGGTCGCACGCCCAATAATTGTGGCCAATTGAACAATTTAACCATGAGTCATTTGAAGTCGTTTGATCTGAACGTGAATCCTGTGCTCGGCAATGATGGTTTTACCTGGGGCTTTACCCTCTGGTTATTTAACATAGCCATGGAAAATGGCCATTTATAGTGGATTTACCCATTAAAAATGGTGATTTTCCACAGCTATGTTAGTTTACCAGAAGGTACCAGATGAACAATGCAAATGATGGACTGCCCATGATTGACTGGTTGACGGTTCTAAGCCTAGAATAGCCTAGAAGCCACACACAAACATCCAAACACGTGCGTTTGCCGGCGTTGCCCTTGGGGTTTGCCCCATAAGGAGATCCGGGATATCCCAAATATCCAAATCCTGTGGTTTTAACTTAGTTTCCATAGCTGGTTACCTTGATTGATTGTTCATATTGTTCCAAGTATTCAATGGCCACACTGGGAGTTTTCTCCCCTGATCTCATTCCTCAGGTGATTCTGGCGAGTGACTCCGAAGAGGCCACGGCCAAGAATATGGCGTCCCATCCGAAGAAAAAGGTGGCAGCGCCGTTGAAAAATCAAAACCCGAAGCAGGTGGAGGACGCACAGTCTACATGGAGGGTTGGGGATTTACAGAGATTTGATATGATTTGATATGATTTGATAAAATGTGAGGCCCCCGTTCGATAGCTAAGTTGGTGCACATAATTCCAATAACTATGGTTTATGATACGCAAATAACTATAGTTACTGGGGCTTATAAACCAACTTAGCTATCTAGGGGGCCTCACATTGTATGATTTGATGTGGAAAATCCCAACTTATGGGGGTTACTATATGACTATCATCAATAACCATCAACCCCACCATTACTTAGAGCAAAATCGATGCTCTCGGCAGGACGACCCAGGCGCAAATTACCACGACGCAGAGGATGTGACCGAGCGGCGACGTCTTTTTCTAGCGATGATCTGGATGCTGGTCCCACAGGGTAAAACATCAATGGGATGTTAGCCGGATATGAACATTGAACATTTAGGGGACATGAACAGATATATATATATATAAATATATATACATGGAGGTTTGATCAACTTATGTTGATATTGTGGGGGTTGAATCAACAAAAGTGGTACCTGATTGGTACGTGCCAGTATCATAGAACCACTATTCCAGTAATATCCCATTAAAAATGAGCCAATTTTTTTTGGAGCTTAAAAAGCGTGCTTTTTCGCGCACTGCCTCAGGATGGCTTTGAGCTCCAGTGGCCAAGCAGTCCTTCTCGGAGATGTCATCCTAGCTGCCTTCCAAGGGCCTTTGAAGCCATGGATTGAGAGACTTGGAAGCGAAATTGTTGCGTCTTGAGTTTGATGATTGGAGTAAATCCATGTAAATCCCCATAAGACTTCCATAAATGGAGGTTCATATTTCCTACTAGCCATGGGGGGCCCTGCGGGGCTACGACTTCAGTTTCCCAAACACGCGCTTGGACCCGTCTGCTGGAATCCTGGGGGCATCACCCGGGTCTACTTGATAATGATTAATTACCCTCTGGTTATTTAACATAGCCGTGGAGAATGGCCCATTTATAGATGGTTTACCTATTAAAAATGTTGATTTTCCATGGCTATGTTAAATAACAAGATGGTAATTATCATGTTTACCCCATGGTTTTAGTGCAAATCTCTTGTTGAAATTGGATACCCCGTGGTTTTCCATGGTTTTCCCAGGCAACCGGGGGTTCCTCCATAGTCCAACTGAGGAAGTACGAGCATTTGGAATTTCTCAAGAGGTCCATCCGGCTTCCACCCTTGAACCAGGACCGGCATGCGCATGCTGCGCCCGGGCACCCGGAAATGGGTGTGGACTATAAATGGGGCATTCGGGGAATCCTAAATGGGCTATAGCCCCAGTTAGTTCAGTAGGGAAAGTAAGGTTAATGTCCATTCATAATTAGGGCTATGATCCACCTAATTACTAAGTGGGACGAACCAGCATCTGTAAAATGTGTGTATTTACTGGTGGCAACTTTAGTGGATAGAATAGGTGAACATGCATGATGATTCTTAGCCATCGGATTTAGGTGCCTATGTGAATGGTGGGGTTTCGTATCAACATACATTTGAACTGTGATGGGGTGGTTCAAAAAGTGGCGGAGGATCTACTTCTAACAGAAACAACAAAACGTGGAAATATAATAGGTTATCATGGGCTTAAACCTGAAACCAACAATGTGATTGCGGGGTTTGTCCACACATGGACGATACTCCTCTGACATGTTCACCAGGCAATGAGGAACATGATAACAACCATGGAGTGGAGTGGAATGGTGTATTTTATTTTTAGTTAGCTCGTCACTGTTGACTGTTGAGGACGACCTTTTTGAAAGCACCCTGAAATTTCAATCATTTGTTTGCCATTGCTCATTGGGTTTCCACCATTTTACCATTGCCAGCGCTGGAAAGCAGGCTTTCCTCATGCTCTTGCATCCTTTGGGAAATTGTCATAATCAAATAGGATGAAAAAAGGAGGAGGCCTGACCTAGAGCAAAACACATATTCAGCTGTAAAATGCACTCCATTCGAACAATGGTAGTCATTAGGTTCAGAATGTGGCAAATTCAAAGAATAAATTCCACCCTAGAAGAGAACACAGGATATGTCACCACTTTGAAGCATTAGGTGCAACAGAATAAATTGCAATATTGCATAGCATAAAGTGCAGAATTGCAGTGGATAAGTTCAGGTCATGTACCTCTCATAAGCAATAGTTATCCTTCTTTTTGTGTGGCAAACATCATTAAGAATGGAAATATATTATTGTTTTGAAAACTAGGGATACACTACTGTCATGATTTCATATGATTGTGGTACAATGTTACAATACCACATTCGTCTAAAAAAATGAGTCATCTTTGAAACACAACCTCAATTCATCAACAAGGCCTTTTTCAGTTAGAAAATTAAGGAAACTCCCTGGTGTTTCCAAACAGGTGTGGAAGTACATAATAATGTTGAATGAGTTTGAGCTGCGTAGCGCAGCAGTTGACCAAAGAAAATGCAACACATTGAGCTAAAGGCAAAATTGCAAACAATACCAGGCAATGCAGTTTTTTCAATTGCTTTCGTTACCCAAGTAGAAATATCTGTATGTAGTCTATTAAGTTGTATGCCTGCGTTTTTTCCAGCAAACAATGCTTTGAAGAAATGAGGTTCTTCAAAGAAGTCCAAAAAATCCACTTCAACCAAAAAAGTTGTTGTCATTTGCAAACTGGTGGTTGCTTGTTGAGCTAGTCACATTTTTTCAGGATTTTTTTTTTTGTGAAGGTTGTTTTCTCCAAAAATTTGTGTTATCTACGATGTGTATTGTGTTCTAAAGTGCGATATTCCTGTTTTCTTCCTTTATCATGGCAACATTCCTTCAGGCAGATGCTGTTTTCTTCAAATATTGAATACTTAATTTCAAGTTGCAATCGAATTTGAACAGTTTAGTTTAACAACAAAAACAATATTGTGTCAAAATATGCAGTGCGTCCTTTGAAGATGTAACATCCCTCTCAAAGAAGCTCCGCTTGCCTTATGTTTGACAGTAGCACCATTTCTCTAAAAAATGTAACGCTCCTCTCAAAGAAACCCAGGTGCCTCCTTCTGTTTGGAATTTGTTTGAAGGAAAGGTTTTACCCACCAAAAAAACATATTCAGCTGCCTCTTTTGGAAGTTACACCATGGTTTGAAAATATGTAACAAACCTTTCAATCATGCCATTTCTTTGTAAATATGTGACACTCCTCTCAAAGAACTCCAGCTGCGCTCTACTGGGAGAGGAACACCATTTATTTGAAGGAACGGTTTCCTTCACCAAAAACATATTTTTACATCCCTAAAGGCTTCACACCTGAAAAGGAAAATTGCACATCCCCAAGGAATACTGCGCATGTTTAGCATACAAGATTGTTTTTTAATAATGGCTTGACAAGAATGCCTTGGGGGCACGATGAATCAGATTTGGTTTGGAATGATCTGGGTTAATCTGGATTAATCCTAAGGAATCAAAAACCCAAAGAAACAAACAAAAAAAAAAAACATGTTTTCCAGACTAGTCTGTCTGGATTTGCCTAGATCCAAGTAGTCCACAAAACACTGTTTTTTTGCTTTTTTGGGTGATTAACCACTCTAAAGCTTTATTTCCACTAGAAAAGGTTTGTGTATGGACAGCAAAAGGCCAATATTGTTTTAGACCATGTAATGTATTTGGGGAAAAATGCATTTTGCGCGCCCACAACAAGCCTTTCCGTATGTCCAATAGAAAAGGCTTGTGCATAGACAGCCAAAATGTATTACTTCAGATTATGTAATATATTGACAAAAAAACAATGAACATATACAAACAATTAGTTTTTTCAGCGCTGGCAACAGGCCTTTCTGTTTTTATGCTGCCCGCATTACATAAGACAACCTTTTATGTTTCCTGAGAGTGGATGGTTCAATACAAGCAGTAGCTAGGTTGGCATACAGGTTCATTAGGGCCCCAAATTTGGATAAATTTGGATTATACGTTTTCAATGGTGCAAGCAAAACGCTGCAGGACACATTGTATGAGCAACTGAAAGCGCGATGTGGCCGGTTGATTCGTTGCAACGTGGCGTTGGAAAACGATGGAGACCCCAATGTTTATCCAATTGATTTCAATTGTTCGAAGTGGTTCATTCAGAAAATAGCCTCTGAATCCGGATGTTACCAGAGGGTAGATTGTATATGATTGTATAGCCTTGACTTCTTTGGGATGGCGTTCGTCTCTGGCAACAGGTAGATATCGTTTTCTTTCCCAGCACCCAGAAATGTTCCTGCATCGCTTTGCTGGATTGCTTGAAGACGAACGGTCCGTGATGGAATGGGCTCGAATGTGCTGCCGAAGTCGTCACCTGGCGGGATACTGGCAGCGTATGATCATGAGTGCCTGGGTTGCCTGGAGTGATTTTCTGATGTTTTCTGTATGTTGATCATTTTGGATCCCGGAAAGATGTGGCAAACAGAACACGGTTCTTGAACTTGCTGTGGCAGCAAAATGTCAAATCTAATCCAGAATGATCTTTTGATATCTATAGATGACACCTTGAATGTATAGTTGTGTATATATATATATATAAGTATACGTGTATATATATATATATACATACTTTAGTTGTTTTTCTTCATTGCTGCCAATTTCCGTTGAATTTTGGAAGAATCTGTGAACACCTGTTTTTTCCCGGTATTTTTTTCAGACTTTGATCGATTGGGCCCAGGTATTGAACAATTCTATGGCCTCTGTGCGAAGGTCAAAGGAGTTTCCGATAAATACAAGGAAGGCCGGAGTCTGGATTTGACAAGTCGGGATTGTTCCGTTCGAAATTGGTTTTGAGATTGATGATGAAAAACCAACACGGGAGATATAAATCAAAATGGTTTCCATGCTTGGTTCGCCCACTAAAATCTGAATTTTCGTGCCTGGTAATATTACTGCCTGGTAGGGCTGATTGTTTTAATTGCATTTGTTGGCAACAAAAACCGCATCAAAGAAAGAGTTGGCCAAGTCTTCTTGGGGTGATCCGAAAATGTGGGTATGCCATTAGTCTATGTAATCATATCCCAATGTTCCATCGGGAAACAGGCCGATAAACCATTCCCCGAATCGAAGGAAGGGAAAACGTGGAGGCATTCCCCGTACTGATGCCATAATTTCCTGTAGATTTACGATTGAAAAAATCAACCCAGTTACACGATAGAATTGGTTGCCCATCCTTTTTTTCCCATTACTTGGTGGTAGGGCTGCTGTTACCAAATTTTTGGATCACCCCCATAACAAAAGCTAAACAGGAATATCCCCCCAGTAAGCCAACAGCCATAGTTGAATATATAACTGGATTTTTTTAAAGCCCCTCAGAATCCACATTTTTTTCATCGACACTATTTCCGGCAACATTCTTCGAAAAAAAAGAATTTTCCATGAATTTCCGCCAGGATCGGAGTGGTGCCCAGCATCCAAAGCCTTCTTCTGCGTCCTGGCAGGCATGCGGCTCAAAAAGATGCAAGCGGCAACTTGCTGTTGGAGAAGAACTTTTGCCCCACGTTTTTTTTGTGCCTTTTTTTGGTTTCAAAAGCAACCTTTAATGGATTTTAATTGTCATGTGTTTGGCGACTTTTTTAGGTGCAAAAATGGTGATATAACAAATGTTCTTAGATCTAAACTGATGATACCATTAGGTTTTCAATAGACGCATGTGAGACACCCAGAAATATGTATTAAGTAAGCAATCAATTACCATCCATTGTCTAAAATTTCTGGCTAGTGATTTCATCTGGTACGTATTTCGTCCCTACTTGGGATGATGACGAGCATATTTTGAGGATTGGCGAAAGCCACCAGCCAGTTTTTTCTCAAATAACCCTAAATGAAATGAACATGTTCATGCTTACTTTCTGACGTTGCTGTGGCTTTCAGACCGGCTTTGACTGGATCTGTACGTGGTGGTACGCCACCAGTTGTAAGTTGTATTTTTATCACCAACAACTATATGGATGTATGTATCATAATATGAGGCACCACCTTGCCTATCGTTTGAAATGGTGACATTTTATTTAGGATAACCTTGGTTTGGAGAAGTGTTGTGATGAGTTATTGTTGGCAGGTTGAAGGCTATTAAGATATTGGCAACATTTGCAAATGAATTGGGACATAATGGTGATATATACAACTTTGGCAGTTTTTGAGGATGCCCCGCAATGGTACCATCCTGTCATAAAAAGGATAGGTTGGGGGTATGATACCTGTGGGATTCCAACCATCGATTTCTTGGTGATTTGGTATCCTTGGGAATCTTAGGCCGGTAAGCATCAGGGAACCGCTGGCTGATTGGACAAGAGATGGTTAGTATCCCATTAAACCTCTATGGCCTGGGGAACTATCAGGTTGGGGAAGGTTTACAAAACTATGGCTAGTTGGTTGAATGCTCATCATTTGATGAACAGTTATTGATAATTTCATGGTTTTGGGTTTAGTTTTGATATGCAAAATCGGAATATGGTGGGCAGCCATGGGTGTATGATGGGTAATGGGCAATGTGATGACAATCAGAAAAGTGATCCGGGGAATCCGGCCTTTGTTACCAGCTAAACACAAAAATTGGGGAAACTGAGGGTAAGCCACTGGGAAGTTTTCTTTGCTTAGATTTTGTTTGGAAAACAAGAGCTGGACAATTTTGAGACGCAAAAAAGTCGATCGATCTTGCCGCTTCAAAGATGTTTTTTTTGTTTTCCTTTAGGTTAATCTGCCAGAAATAGGGACTTGGATTATCGATGATGATCGCTCCTGGCGGAATTGGATTTGTAGGCTCCTCTTTGATGGCTAAGAGGATGGGGTTAAGTGTCATTACCCCAGTTTTATCCATGCTTAAATCCCATTGCAATCATGTTTTGTTGGTTAAAACATGTTCCCTCCAACCCGGACAATGCTCCACACCTCAAGAGAATCATCATCATCATCATCGTCATCATCATCATCATCATCATTCTGGGGCTTGATATGGAATGGGGGAATGATCCAAAGGATCCAATCCATATCCTCAACTTATCTTCATAAAGGGATCAAAAATTGCCACCCCCTCTGACTTATATGTTGATGATAATAAGAACATGAACTTAGCTTGTTGAGGGATCAAAATCCGCCACCCCCTCTGACTACGTTGACAGGGATCATTACATCAACTTATCTTCCTAAGGGATCAAAAATTGGCACCCCCTCTGACTCATATGTGATGTAATATATGCCATATGTGTTATGTACTATTACATACTTCGGCCACTTCTGAATCCGACGCGGAGCAACGTAGGGGTTGCAGCGAACACGTTAAAATTAACCTTTTTTGGATGGTTGGTTAGGTCCCATTGAACCATTGAAAGCTTGTTGTTAACCGTCAAACCCAATTGAACTCCAGTTCTTGCTGGTTAAATCCCATCGAAGCCAACTTCTTGCGACAAAAAGCCAGCGATTCCAAGCGCTTCCAAGGATGAGGAGGCGAAGGTTCAAGACATGCTCGACAAGCAGAGTTGGGAGAAAGCTCAGAAAGAGGGTGAGAAAGATCAGGAAGAGGGTGGCTGGAGTGGCAACGAAGCAAGTTTTCCGTTTGAACTCAGGATGCCGGTGACATCATTATACATACCCGTTCCAATTATCTAAGCAAGCATAGATGGATAAGATAAGATACGCTAAAATTTGAAGAGATTATAGGTTAGTTATAGATAGATAGACAAAAAGACAGACAGCAGACAGATAGACATATAGGACCTGAAAGAATATATAGATAGGATGGGATGGGATACGATAGGATAAGTAGGGTAGGGTAGGGTAGGGCAATAGAACAGTGTAGGGTAGTGTAGGGTAGGGTAGAGATGGATAAATGGATAGATGGATTGGATGGCTTATTTAGATATTGATGGATAATGATAGGTAGCTTGATAGGATAGACTCGGATAGGGTCATAAGATAAACAGGATAGATAAGATAGAAAGGATAGATAAACACAGGCACATCATCCTATATCTGGTTGTCCAGATTTCCAGGATGTTCCATCGATGACCGAGGCAAGGACAAGGTTGAAGTTCCTGAAGGCGGAAGGCTTTGGACTGCCAAGGGTCTCAAGAGTATCCCAGCTTTGTACGAAAAGAAGGCCGTGAAAAAAGCAAAAAGCAACCTGGAGCTGAGTTTAGGGTGGGTTTGTTTTCATTTTTCACATTTCCCATCCATGTTAATCCAGCAGGAACGTGGAATCTTCTGGGGATATGTCATCTCTTTTTACGATTTCGGGAAGTTGTTAGGTTCGCCTGTGCTTTTGGCCCGAAGTTTTACTCGCAAGCCAAGGCAAGCCACAATACACTGACCGAGTACAGCTCAGAACCACAACCAACCTCAAAAATCGGCAAAGGGAGCGCTCTCGTTCCCGCGGTGCTGGCAGGGATGACGCAAAAGATATCGGCAAGAAAGGCCAGAAAGAACAAAATGATGAACGTCAGGGAAAAGAAGATGAACAAACACGTCACATGAAATATATGGCCCGATTGGCTCGGCTTGCCTTAGAGATGACCGAAACCTTGATGGGCAAAAAATGTCGTGACACTGCGGTGCAATTTACTCTTCATGCCGACCTCTTAGCAACAGAAATCTACAGAGGGACAGGTCGAAAGCGACCACAAATCTTACGTGGGCCGCTAGTTGCGGCTTTAGATGCTGCTAATTGACGAAATTGCTGTGGCTCAAAAAAGATACCTATGGACCATCGTGGGCCCACTCACAAAATTGTATTGTTTTTGAATTTAACGATGCAATCATTCTGAGCCATACGCGAAGTCAGGACAACGACGCCAGGGGGAGAGAAAAGAGAAATCTCGATAAGCGGCTGGTGGTCGTCAATCTAGTGACTTTGATGTAGCTCTTCATCAGCAGGTTGCAGTTTTGATTCTCATACATACCTTGTAAGAAGCGAACTGACCGTGATACATTGGTTTAAACCGCCCATTTGATATCTGACAACAATGAAATTTCAGCCATAAATCCAATATCAACAACGAAAAACAAAATCCAATCACTAGCCTGGTTACGAAGCAACTCACTTGTCATTTGAGCAGGTTTGTAATTGTGAAAACGAGGTGCCAACAAAGCCATGGTTTCTGCATCAGGCATTCAGCCAGAGTTGAACCAAGTTGAACCAAGTTGAACCCGCACAAGAATCATCAAACTGGCCGCTTTTGAGGAACAAAATCCACTGGCACTAGCAGAAACCGGCGCATGGATATAGGATGGGGAGATGGCGATCTAAACTGCGGTGCCGGACTTCAGATGGGCCATTTTTATGGTCAAACATGGCCAAACCAACAAAATTTCAGCATTTTGAGGGTACCAAAAAACGGTCGTCATGCTCACAATGCATCATTTTAAGGCCTAGGTCGGCGGAACGCGTGCTATTTCAAAGTATTTCAGCATCCTTGGGCCGTAAATGGAGAACATGAACAGCCCATGAAAATTAAAGCATTCCCCCTCAGAAATCTGTGGCACGACATCTCCAGAAGGGCCCCAAATTGGGTCCAGGCCCAATACATGTCACAAAGATAGATAGATTTTTTGGGGGCAGTGTCATGTCATGATCAGTTTTTTTCCAAGCTCGGTCCGGACTCTTTTCATCCCAGGCAGGCTCAGAAGTGGCATAGATTGTGATAAAGGAATTGGGTGTAATTGGGTTATATCTCCATGGATGGGAACATCGATTGTAAATGAGCTGGAATTTAGTGATCCGTTTTCACCCGGGCTTAGCGTCTACAACTAGGCAATGAAAAGAAAGCCACATGAGCCAGAAACATCGTTCTTCAGTTCTTATCTGTTTCCACTTTAGGTATTGGATTTATCATGGTTTCCCATATCAGCATCGCAACCTATTCCCCGCGTCAGCCTTACCTCCCCTAATGAGTCAAGCAGATGGGTTATTATCTGTGGAAGGAAGGGGGTCATGCCCCAGCCAAAAACTGATGACATTTGATGACGTTCCTTTGAAATGCAACCTTCCGTGCTAAACCTTCCTGCATGCATTTGATTTTGGTAGAGATTTTTCCTAAAGCTATATCTGAACGTTGTGGGCTCAACAGACAGCGGCGATACATTCCCTTGCAGTTTCCTGACGGAGAACAAGACATATATATTTGTCGCGTTTTCAGCAACCACCACTTTAAGAGTTTAGGGCCGAAGACTTTGCGCATCCGCGCAGTTGCCGCAGTCGCAAGGAAAAGAAGGCCGACGATTGCTCCAACTCTTTTAGACACCACAAACAGAACTGCGCGGGAGCGCCGCACGCCCCAAAACTGAGCGAACTTTGGTTGGGTTGCTGACTGGCCACAAGGCGACAGACAGGTCGGCCAATTTGACTTGAAATTTCCATGTTTTAGTCCACGGCTATTTGTGCTCATCCCAGTTGCGATGTGCTTTGGCAGGCATCCCAGCTGAAACACGGTGAGCTAGCAATGGTTAGCAACCCCCAAGAAGACAGAAAAAAATCAATGGGTGACGTGTTTATTGTATTTTTTGGGTGGCTATTGTATCTCGATGATCAGCTTTTTGCACCTGGGATGTAGATCCAAATGTGGTAATTAACCATGGTTGTTTTCTGTTTGGCTTCCTGGGCTCAGCAAAGGTTTGTTCTAGTATCGGAGTGCAGACGGAAAAGCATGAAACACATAAACCCATGGGAGCAAAGTGGAAACATACGGTCAGCTCATGGGAAACCATTTTTTTGCAAGATTAATTACACATGGTCAAACGGATACAAATTGAACAAAAAGATGGTACAGCGGGCCTCTAGATATTCACATTTTTTGTGCATAATTCCTTTTTAAACAAAACGCGGCTGTTCACCCGAAACGTATTTATTTTCTAGATCAATTTCTTACTACACCGGGAATATAGCAACCCCAAACGATAGACACGCAAAAATTCAAAGCAATTAGAACACTATGTGAACTCAGTTTGTTCTATGTTTTTGTCTGTTTTTATCCGCATATCTAGCATCAGAGATAGATTGAGACAACATGAAATGACCAATAGCATATAAAATGAACCGTTGGAAGGTTTGAAGGCCATTTTCCATGCCGATGTTGTCGATCGAGATGACTGATGAATTTGTGCACATGTTGAGGGTGGTGCTGCAGATTGGAAGAGCCACCTTCCAGTAATTAAACATGGCTGGTTGGGAAATGATCGAGCGAAATAGCAATTGTTTGGGAAAATCAGATATACATATTGGTGGTTTTCGGGTAAAACCAAGGGGAATCCATTAGTTGTTTGAAAAGTCAAGTACGAAACGCAAACCCCGACGGCCGCAGGTGCAAAGCGTAGCCGGATCGTTGAAAAAGGTGTAAAATGGCCGTTGCGTTTGCCCAGGTTGGGCATGTGGGTTAAATTTTGGGATTTACGGTATGCACGGTATACCCAGCCCCGAAACTGCAATTTCAAAATTTAGAAAATGATGACCAACAGTGAGTTTCAATTTAATAAGCACGTTCGCTTGAGACGGCACCAGATCGTTTGTGGATAAGAATTGCAGCTGCGGGCAGCCGGGTGCCTAGTGTTTGCCGGTGACAGAATCACATCTGCGGGGTCATTGTTTGCCAAATTTGTTCCGTAACTACAAACAAATTATCACAGGTGCAGTCACGCTTCGGCCAAGATGTGTTGCTGTCAGTTCGCCACTTCCTCCACACTCCTGAGGTTATGTTGCACCTTCATGGGGGTTGAACATTGTTGTTTTCGGTTCTCAGGTTGTGATAGAAAGAGTCAATGGCGCAGTTTGCAAGGCCAAGGAACAATGTCAAGTGCTGATGTACATGAACATTTCAATGCTGCCAGGAACAAAACCGTTCATAAGTTCTTTCAATACTGGGATCGTCATTAGGGTGCGGGCATAAAATCGGGTATACTCCCCCCAGCTATGGCCATCAAATAATTTGGAGAATGATGATTCACCAATTGATGATTTAGGCGTGCATTATTTTCTGTGAAACTCCTTTTAGTTGTCACTTGTTTTTTCTGTGTTCCGTCCCTTGTAGCGCTGGTAGCCATCCGATCTTGAGCGGCCCGATGCCAACCTTAAGCTCCTGGGCAAGAGTGGTGAAAGGGAGATGCAGCCGGAAACCAAAACTGAGCGGTTTCCAGAACTGGATCATGAAAAACTAAGAGGAATCCAAGATACTTCAAGGAACAATCGTTGATTTCCTCATCCATTGGCATGAACAAAATCCACAGAACTTGGTAATAATACTAATAAAAATATTTTTTGCAGTTGCTGGTCGCAGAATCCTGAGGTGAATTGAAACGGCGTCGGCCCAAACCCAGGATGGAGAAATGGTCCGGAAACCGAGAAGGAAGTGGTTTCTTTAAGTAATTTTCTTCGGATGCCAAGCATTCGTCCCAAATGAATTTTCCAGATGTAAGACTTGGTGGATTCATCCCAGCATTTTGCTAAAGCCTAAATGTCCTAAATTTATTTAGGGGGAGTGCAGAATTGTTGCCAGTATCTTACCATTATTTTGAGGGAAAACCCCCTCAGGTTTAGTAATCCACGGTTCACATACCTGGAATGTTGGGATACCCCAAGTGGCAATCACCTCCTTCATAGCTGAACCCTCTGATTCCAAGCCACCAACTCAAACAAGCAGGTGATCAATGGTTGAGTATTTGTGTTAATTAAGGATTGTTATTTTTTGGGGGAGTTATGTTTTTGCGTTTTAGGCATTTTTGTTTTTTAATTTCTGTTTCCCTGCTTCTTTGCTTTTCTGTTTTTCCCTGCTGTTTTGCTTTTGTAGTTCTTTGCTTCTCTGCTTATTATCATTTATTATCCACTTTCTGCCTCTTTGCTTCTTTGCTTCTTTGCTTCTCCACCGTGCTGCCTCTCTGCTTCTTTGCTTCTCCGCTTTCCTGCTTTTCCCTGCTTTTCTGCTTTTCCAGCTTCTCTGCTTTTCCCTCTGGTTTTGTTTCTCATTCTGCAGGTAATCCTCAAGAAACATCATGTAAATAAACCCTAAATCAACCATAAACAAGCCCCAAACCAACCAAAGAATCACTAAAGCAATTCTAAATAAACCCTACACACTCCTTAAATAAATTCAACATTAATAATTTTTACACCAGCCCTAAATAGATCTTAAACCAGGCCTAAATAAATCTTGAACCAACGCTAAACACATTTCAAACCAATCCTGAATGGGTCCTACACCAACTTTAGATAGATCCTAAACCAAGTCTGGACAAACCCTAAACACACCCTAAACCAGCCCCAATTAGATGCTCACCCAAGCCCAAAAAAAACGTCAACGAACCCTAAATAAAGTATTTTTCAAACCACGCCTACATAGATCCGTAACCAACCCTCAGCATACCTTGAACCAACCCGAAATAGGTCCTAAACCAACCATAATAGGTCTTAAGCCAAGCCTAAATAAAACTTAACCAAACCCTAAAAAGATCTTAAGCTAACCTTTAACCTTGAACAGAACTTAAATAAAGCCTAACTTGAAAACCAAACTGCAAAAACTAAAAACAAGCAAAAACCCTAAACCAACCCTAGTTGCAAACTACCATGTTGCATGAACAGTTCGAACTCAAAAATGTTGCAAAGACGGTTACAACAGCAGCTTCCAGTTCCAAACTGTGGCAATTTCCAAAATGTTGCAAATTCCATGGAAAATGAGAGGTTTTCAACTCCGAAATGTTGCAAGGCAGTTGAAATGGCAGCTTCCAGATCCAAC